CCCCCATGACACCCTGTTCCAGATCTAAGGTGGCACTGTCGACTCCAGCCTCACGGGGAGATCGATTGAGCCCGGTTTTCATGTGAGTGTGTCAGGTGGAAGAATTGGACTTTGCTTCCACCATGGGCACCTTTGAGGCCAGGGAACCTTATAGCCACTACAGAGCAGTCCCCTGCATTGGCTTCAGGATTACAAAGAAGCACCTTCCAAGGGCAAGCCGGCTGTGATGCAGCACTGTTTGCCCTCACCTCAGCACCATTCCCTGGCACTGGTGCTCTCTGCATGGACTTTGTCACCATGGTTAGGATCATTGTCAGACACAGAGGTGGAATGGTAAGCCTGTAGGCAAAACTGGCACCACTCTTGGCACTGCTCTCGGTACCAATCGAGACAGGAGGGTGGCGATTGCATATGATTGTGGCAGGAGCTGTCTCAGTGGCTCTTCTGGACCCTGTGGGCTTACCACTAAGCCTGAGGACTGAGATCAAAATTGCTATCAGTCATATTGGAGGCATGACCCTTTTTGTCATGATCTGTAGCATGGGAACCTCTGTGAGGCCCGGAGATTGGTGTCCAGGTCAGCACAGAGGCTGCAACAGTGACTGGCACTGAGGCCAGCCTGGGGCCAGAAGCAATGTTGCTGCTAAATCTGTTCAATCCATGTGCGGATTTTTTTCCATCCATGTGTGGAATACAATTTTTTCGGGCACAAACACATGTGTGAATGTGCAGCAGCAGCAGAAGCAAAAAACCTTGCTGTGGGTTCTTTCCTAATCAGCTGGGCAGCATTTAAATCTCTTGAGTGTCTGCACACATTCATAGCTTACAGGGAATGCTGTCTGACAGCCAGTGCTACTGGCATCATGCTGGGTGCATCAGTGCAGGTTGAGTGCTGTGAGCTGGAGGGACCGGAGGACCCAGTGCCTCCAGGGGCATCCTCCTCATCCTCCCCCAGTGAAGTAATGGCAGGCACATCTGCCACACAGCTGACCATGAACAAATGAGCCCAACACAAGTTGCTCAGAATTTGGGCATGGAGGCAGAGATGTCAAAGGAGACTGGCCCTATGGTTGACATTCTGGGGCCTGAAGGTCCTGTGAGTTTAGTTTTGCCTCTCATTAAGGCCATTCAAAACACTAGCAAATGCCCACTTCTCTTTCCCCTCATGTCAAAAGGGTGGAGGGGAAGTTCTTTGTGCCTTGAAAAGGGTATGGATACTCCTTCATGCACCCTCAGCTGGGCATATTGGTTGCTGTGACTGAGTAGGAGAGGCAAGAGGCAACTGAGATTGACTCCCAAGTCTGAAGAGACAAGCTTCATCTCTTTGGCAGGAAGGTGTATTCCTCTGAGGGGCTCCAGCTTTGCATTGCCAACTAACAGGCAGACCTCAGCCTCTACAGCTTTAATTCCTGGAACTCACTGTTCCAAGGAATTGCTTCCATTTGACTCAATCAGAGTTTGTGGCCATTCTCAAAGAAGGCAAGGTCATTGCAAAAAACCTCCTTGCAGGCCTCTCTGGATTCTGCTGACTTCCAACCCAATCTATGTCTACAGCTATAGCAATGAGAAATGAGCTCATGGCTATAGGACTCTTATGAGATTCAGCAGATGCACTATCAAAGGGAAAGTCCTAGATCATGGCTTTACTCAACAAACAGACTAAGCTTTACAGCCTCAAAGACTTTCAGGCAGCATTGAAGTCTCTGGAGGGGCATACACCAGCCGCTCAAAGGAGCTTAAGTCACAGCATAGATCTCACTTCTTCTACCCTGATCATTGTATGCAGGAATAACAAGTCGAGAGCTCCTCAATCCTCAGCCTGTAAGCAAAACTTTTGAGAGTGCACCCTGGGATGACACACTAGACCAGATCCTTCCTTTCCTCTCCTTCCACATGGTTAATTGCATATCCTGTTTCTACCATGCATAATCACAAATCACCTCATACCAATGGAACTTGAACGTGGTGGAATTGGGATATTCTTTCCCATTCTGTTCCTTCTCTTGGGCAACTCCTTGTGGATAGGTGTGAATGCTTGGTAGAGGAGGTCCCTCCAGAGTTCAGAGGAAAAGCACTTTCTGGCCATGGCACCATTGTAGAAGACTTATGATATCCCACTGCTACAATACAGAATTGTCCAAAGCTGCTTGGCCGTATGACTGCTTGTATGGATTACAGGATACGAGGCTGTAGCTCTGACCTCTTAAAGCTGGATGTGGCTCCCTTCCCAGCACTGGGGAGTCCAGCCTTCTCTTCCCCTCCCCCTGTCACCCTGCAGAGCTGGAACACACAAAATCTACTGACCTCTTTCCCCCTTCCCTGGATCTGGCAAGGAGAATATGGGGGAATGTCTACTCTGGGAATGTCTTCTCTTTCTCAGTCGGGGCCACATCAGTGGGGGGGGGGGGG